TAGCCACAATACAAAAAACTTGATGTTTCAAAGACTGAGTTAAATTTTCTGCCTAGTCGATGTTTAGGACAGCTCCATCACACTGTTTCTTTCGCTTCTGTTCTCCTCTTTCTCGTTCAGCACGCCTGAAGCCTGTTCCTGCTCCCACTTCCTCTGCCCTCATGCACTCGGACTCTGACCTGGACAGTGACGAAGGGCAGGGCGGGATCCCGTGGACGGATCAGGAGCGCGGGCAGCTCCTGAGGCCTCAGAATGGCTCCCTGAGGAATGGCCAGGGGCCGGTGAGGGCCAAGAAGCAGAGAGAGGAGCAGCTATAGCAAGAGAGGAGGGGGGAGCTCACAGCTGCCCTCACACAGCTCTTCCCCTTCACGCCTCCTCTTTCCCCTTCGTTGGTCTTCAACACAAAAACCTCACGCTTCTCCTCTGTGAAGACAGACTGGGAGATACCTGAGTTAGGAAGAGGGAGAGAGGAGGAGATGTTGGGACCGTGTTGTCCCACTGTCACAGAAAAAACACCACGATACTGAAGCTTCCCTGCACCCACACTGAGCCAGAACGACGTGAAAAAGAAACTGCCATTACACTGAGAACCAGGGGTGAGCACTGTGTTTTGAATGATATAAAATATTAATTAGACCCCTATTATTTAACACAGAGACATAAAGAATGTAGTGCTGCCCCTCTCCTGCTGCTGGCTTACAAAGGTTGGGAGACTGTGTGAGAGGAAGTAGCTCGAGTGACTTTTTAAGATGAGGAAAAACAAAACTGCTTCAATGACACAAAAACCAGCCACCTGGCACGCTCACACCTTGCCTCTTGTAGACACGCATGTACAAACACGTTGTATTCACTCCGTTTCAGGTCGACCTGATGCTACCAAACACTGCCATTTTTAAATTAATGGTTAACTTTGCTCTGATTGTTTCTGTTCATCTGAAGCATGACGGAGAGGAAAAGGAAAAAAAAAGACAACCAACCAACAACCAAAACTGATCTGAGCTGCCAACGGCTCGGAGAAACCACCTCAGAAAATATTTTAAATAATTTATGTGCATGAAGAGCGACAGATTGCAGCTCTGGTACAACCTGATACGATCGGCTGCATGTTTGTATGTCAGCTGTATGTGTGGATTTCTGTGGCTGCTGTGCCAAAAGATGTTTCCTCGGAGCAGTTTTTTGCTTCTTTTTTGTTTTTTTGCTTTTTTTTATGTTTTTATGAACCCACAGAAGAGTCACAGTGTTGTAAGGTTTTATTCTCAAGGCTTCTCTGTGGATTAAATAACTGGAGTACACAACTGTAACAAAGGTGGTCTCAGTGAGGAAGGCAGTTGGGAGAAAGATGAAGAACAGGAGATTGAAGGACAGACCGCTGCTTCCTCATCACCTTTGGTAATGTGATGACTGCTTCAACCCTGAAGACCACAGAGTTTTTGTTACTGTTTTTACAAACAACCTTTTGGCTGTGATTAGACGTGGATGCACTTTGATTTTAATGTCTGCTGTCTCACTTTGTCTCTTGTTGGTTTAAAAAAAGGGAGAGGTTCGTATGTGACGGTTGGAAGTTGGGAGGTTCAGCCATAAACGCAGGACTTTGCGGTACTGAATATGTAGGAAGAATGTCCATCAGTAATGTAATTCTCATGCTTTACACTCATCTCCATGATGCAAGCAGCTCTAAATTTTGCAGACTTGCAGCACACTTGGACAAGCATGCTCATTTTTTAACAAACTGAATGTTTAAATCCATCAAAAAGCCAAGTCACAATATCATTTTTCTGGATTTAATGGTATTCATCCTCTTCAGTCTGACCATTAAAAGATCTTCTTTTAAAGTGATTTTGATGTTATGGAGTTGGAGTAAAAATCCACAGGCCCTGTGCTGTGCAAAAACATAGAAACACAGTGGGGTTTTTTTTTAGCAAGGTTAAAACAGTTAAATCAGTTTATTTCTTCCAGAGTTTTAATTTTTTAATTATAGTCAACTCTGTGTTTTTTGAACAGTGTCATTATTAGGTATACAGAAACATTAAGAGTTTGTACTCTAATGGTTGTAAAATTAAGATATCTTAAAGTTGATGGAGTGTTAAAGTTGGCCAGGAGATGCAGATTTCAAACTGACTCGGATGTGAGGAAAATCTTTGAAAAGGTAAAATATGTTTTCTATTTTCTAATGCAAACTTGCTTTAAGTATACGAGTGAGCTGCACATCCGATCGGAGATAAAACTGTACTAAATCCCGAAAACAAATTATTTCTTCCCACGGACAGGACATAAGCAGGAGGTTAATCTGAAGGATGTTTGCGTACGCTTTGAGCAGATTACCAGAAATAAACCACGAACGGGGCCCAGCAGGAAGGCTTTGTTTGTTCATCAGCAGTAATCTGAGGTGTTTCTTGGCTGGACCGTACCGACAGACAAACTTTAGCAGAATGACTCTCCCCGACGTATCATCTCACAGTGTGATTGCTTTGCATGCAGAATGTGAAACTGACACATGTAAGTCCTCATCTGGAGGCACACTTTTCTATGTTCGTTGTTGAATGTTAAAAGGGTACATCATTGATTCAGTTCAGCTTGTACTCTGTGCGAAATAAGCTGGGGTTGGTTTTTGGGTTGGTTTTTTTTTTCTCAAATTACTGCAAAAAGTCATCTCATGCCGATGTTGGATCTGCTGCACTAAATGTGTTTTATTCGCACCTGCTGAATTTATCGGGCCATCTTTTTTTGACCTCCTGTGAGAGGCAAATTAAAATCAAGCACACCCAGGTTCCAGCAACGTCAAACCACTGAAAGACATCTGTTGTCTTGTTTTGGTTTTTGGGGTTTTTTGGGGGGGTTTTTTTTGGAATAACAGCCAAATTGTTCTGATGGACTCATCTTTTTTTTTTTTTTTTTTGTCTCCAAAGCTCCTTTTACAGTTAAAAGGAGGACACAAAAATGTTGCGTTGTCTGCTGTTACGTTTGGGATTTGTTTAGATGCAAGTGAACTGACCTTGAGTCCACTGTGAAGGCAGAGATAAATGAGAAACTGTTAAATGAAAGGATGAAAGGGGTGTAATTGTTTTTGTTTTTAATATTTTATTATTAATAAAGTTTTAGTGAAGGATGACCCCTTCTTTTGTTCTGTGATCCTGCTGATGCAACTGGATAATGTGTAAATTAAAGTTAAAAAACAAAAAAACAGTGTTGGCTTGTTCTTGCGTTGTGTAATCTGAACAAAATTACCTCTGATTAAGGTAAAAAAAATACTTTTATTCTTTTCTTTTTTTTTTTCTCTGTGCTTTCTCTGTGTCTTTTGTATTAGTTGTTTTTCTCCACAGCCTGCACAATTCAAAGGAAACGCCTTTGTGTGATCTGAGAAAACTTTGTGGGAAAAAGTTTTGCCTGGATAAAACTTTTGAGGTGTTTGTTTTGCTCTGAAATGGAGATGAGTCATTTTTTTAATATTACACAAAAATTCTGCTTCATCACCTGGTTGGAAAAAAAAATCTAATTTCTTTGTTGCGCGTTCACTACATATTATAGGGTTGGTATAACATTTACTTTTCTGATTACAGGGGATCCAAACACCTGTGTATCGGACTGATCCTCTGGTTGGTCTTTTCATTTACTTTTATAAGCCTGCTGCCCTCGATGGTTTGTCCTTTGCACATTTTGGGAGATAATGGAGTCCTTAAAAGATGATAATCGAGGTCTCCCTTCTCTGTCCTGTTATTTCTCCTCACTGTGGATCGATGCCTGTTTATAACACTTCCTGTCACTGGATGGATATTTATTTTTAAGACTAGACAAGTGACATGTAAGATAAATACAAATGTGCTTTTAGGTGATCTCTGTGAAAATGTGACTTCTTTATTGAAATCTTTATTTCGGCCAAAAAAAATAAGGTAAATAAGAAGACAGGATAAATATTTGCATGTTTTCAACGTCTCTGCAGTCAAAGTTTTGCTTCTTTTCTCAACTATTCGCAAATACAGTGTCTTAAACATGAAATGGGACAAATCATGAATGTGCAGCTGACAAATCTGTGTGATGCTATCATGTCGATATGGACCAAGATCTCTCAGGAATGTTTCCAGCTCCTCCAATTTCACATGAATACAGTGTCTTAAACATGGGACTATAGAGAATTTATATTTATGTTATCATAATGTTTGTTTGTTTGTTTTTTCACTTAAATTTGAGTTAATTCGCAGAAGTATGATAGTGACTGTGACCACCAGATTTCTTCAGTGAGTGAATGAGTGTGTGGTGCTGATGATCCACAGCCACACTCCAGGATGGGGGCTTCTCAGGAAACCTGGGAAAGACTCAAAGAGGCTCCAGCTCCAGCAACACTTGTAGTGTAAAGAACAGCTTTATCACTTGACCAAGTAATAATTAATACTTTGTACGACAAGTGTTGCTGGAGCTGGGCCTTTTCAGATTCTCCATTCACACTGGAAGCAGGTGAAGTGCTAAAAGCATCTTTAGTGACTCCACACAGACCATATATAAATATATTTGTCTGTTTGAATATTTGTGGGAATAACTAAGGGGGGGTTATTGTATCCCGTTCTGTGTAAAACAAACGCTAGATTGTTTGGTTATAACAATAAGAACCCTTAGTTGTCGCCCTTATTTGAATCAGTGAAGTCACTTCATTGCTTTTGTGCACATTTACACAGTTGTGTCCATGTTTTCTGTATGTGTGACAGCTTTTTTCCAGTCTGTAAAGTGGGGCAAACATGCCCAGACAAGAAAAAACGCACCACATGAAATACACAACTCTGCGTGTTTTTCCTGCAAATGTTCGGAGGAACATCTCCTTTAGAGGCGCTGCCTCTTCTGTTATTTTTATGATGTCATATCTCACTGCCTGCAGATATGTTGTTACGAGGGGAAGAAAAGTACTTAGTTCTTCTATGTTTTCCCCTCTGCCTCTCTTCGTATATTGCTGCCCTCTGCCTCTCGCACTCCTTATATGGGAAAGGAATTAGTTGCGCGAACAAGGGCGGAAACGTGGCGCGGTGAGCGCTGGGTAAATTCAGCGACATACAGGAAGAAAGAGACGAAGCCCAGTCTGCTTACTGCACACTCCCACAGCAGCGACAACATAAAGGACCGAATCACTGCTCGACCAGTTTAGCAGGTAAGCAGCCGGTGTGCTGTCCTTTTTGGTATTTGCACTGCGGGGTTTGTGACTCGATTTACGGCTTTCTGCAGAAGCGGAAAATCAAATCTGAGACGAGAGAGAGAGAGCGCACAGCCGCTTCCTCCTTCACCGAGAATCATTCAGAAATTACATCTTGAGTTCGGTGTGATGCTAACGCAGCCGGCTAGCCGAGGTTAGCCGCAAAAGCTGACGCTGGTCTGACTTAAACCGTTAACATGTCTGCAGCCCTGTAGTCAGCCTTTACTTCGTCTTGCTATGCTCTCTTATTAAAAGTGGAAACTTCTCTTTTTAGTCTTCTTTTCTTCCCTTTCCTCCTCTGCAGAGTAGTGCAGCATTAGCTGACACAGGGAGGGGTGTGTGTGTGTGTGTGTCTCAGAGGAGAGAGAGAGAGGAAAAAAATCCAGGAAATAGTCAAACTGACAGCAGACGCTCAACGGCAGGGAGGGGACGTATAAAAACACCACCCCAGCTTTTTTTTAAAATATGTGTCGACTTTGAATAAGGTGGTGTAATTTTCTTTTTAAAAAAAGAAGAGGTTTATCTGGGGTTACGTTAGCTAGCTCTGGTTGTCGGCGTTGGTGTTGTGGCACATTTTGTACCCCCTTTAAATAATTTCTAAGCGGTGTAACGGCTCTTCAGGACGGCTTTACGCTATTTCCTAATCTGTAACTCTTCAGGACACTATAACGTTACTTGAGAAAGGTGTTTCTTAACCTCAAGAGCCACGAGTACACAATAAAACTGTTTAGCCCCACCACTCAAACCTCAGTTAAAGTTGTAACGGCTAGCTTTAGCCGGTGATCGCATTATCAGCAGCGGCTTGAGCGCGATTTGGTTGAGCTTTCAGCCCACCGAAGTAGGTCTGGGAGGGCGCCCTGCTTTCCATGTCTGCCACGGTTACAAACAGTGTTTCCCTATGCAAATAGATTTGGAAGAAAAGCTGAGGTTGCAAATGCAGGAGTGGACGCTCGCTCCTTTATGTCTGGACGTCTTGCCCCCAGGCAGACACACAAACCCTCACACAGGCCTAACTAACCTACTTCACTGGCCCTGCGTGCTGATGGGAGCTCTGTGCACAACATTTCTTCCATATAGACAACAAATGAGGTCGATGAGATCAGTTTGATACGGTTATAGGCAGATTTCAGATTTTTAGTTACAAAGGTATTATTCATTAGTACAATACACTAGAGGACTAATGAGAGACTGCCACTCCTCATCTAAAGACTACTTGGAATTTGTAGTCAGACGTTAAGATTTTGCATAGACTGGGGTCACTATTTGCAAGGAGACAGGTAGATTCCTTTTAAGCTAATTTCCCATAGTGCACTGCGTGGAAATGTGCAAAAAGCTAAAGTTGCTGAAAGCAGGCTTTTGGCCACACCTGCTCTTGTTTGTGCAGTGGTTTGTTCTGAAAAACCAGCCCAAAAGGGAATAAAAAGGGGAGTAAATGCACCTGTTGGTTGTTGATAGTACTAATGTGTTTGAGTTTTAATATTTGCATAAGTTGAGACAAAAAAAAAAAAAAGAAATGCAATATGTAAACTACGTGAGGAAGACCATGCTGATTGAGCTTTATGATCACTTTACACCAAATGATTGAGATAAGAGCATGCAACAACTTTACAAAACTCCCAGTTTTATTGCAGCATCAGTCATTTGTTTGCACTGTTTGAAAGTGTGCCTTCATACTCCTGGTATGAACTACAAGCTTCTATATTTGTACATGCTACAGATTTAGCTTTAATCTAAGGAAAACAGAACTGAAGGAATGACTCCCTGGCTGCCGTCACTTCTCTGGTTTTGTCTTCGTCTGTAGCGTTTCCTTGGTGGTCAGCACTTGGCCCGAACCTACGCCGCCACTTTGCTTTGGTGCACATAAAAATAAGCATTTGAAGTGAAGTAACTGGGCATAAAGTAAACTCAAATGTGCTTTGCTCTGGGATTTGCAATTTGCTAGATATGGATAAAGTTTGTTAGTGTTGGTGTAAACAACAGTTAGCCATCTACAGGGCTGGGTTTGTGTTGTTGTTGTTTTTTTCCAGCTGTTACACCATTTAGGGGCCGCTCCCTCCCTGTGCTGCAGGTGAGTCATGTCTCATGAGACCAGGAAGTGCTGGACTCTGGTATATGCAGGTATAAATGCTCACTGCCGTGGTGCTAAACAGAATGTGGGTCAAGGGTAGAGAGGGCTTTTGTTTCCTGCTGTGATCTAATTCATCTCAGAGTCTGCTGCACAAATTAATGCGTAACTCTCTGTGAAAGACAGAGGAAAAGGGGAAGTTTAGGTATTGTGTGCTTCTTATTCAGTCTGCTGTAAAAGGAAGAAATAGTGCAGTCTTTTAAAAAATAACTTCATGTAATGTCTTGCCACCTCACCTGCTGATAACTCTATTGAATGGATTCACCTAACAGCCTCAGGGTTGATATAATGCATAACTGCCTCTCCTATTTAATGATCAGAAATCAAGTCGAAAGGCTGATTTTTAGTGATGCAGTATTTTACCTTTATTTAACCAGGAAGTCTGACTGAGGTAGGAGTCATGCAGACTCAAAGCATTATTAAAACTGCAACAAATGCAACATATCAGATCCACACATGATATACACCCACATACACCCCCCCCCCTCCAAACACACACACACAATAAGTTGGTTCTTAAGGAAAAAGATCCATGCATCTTGTTCACCATGTTCCTTATGATGGTTTTAAACTTGAACAAGCTTTTGCATTTTTTTTTTTTAAGTTTAAGATGTGGGGTAAGAAAATGCTGTTGTCATCAGATCTGTCTGAAACCTCAGCAGATGAACAATCAGCTGTTTGGAAGGGAAAAAAGAAGTATACAAAGTTAAACTAAATGGCTGCTTGAGTGACCATAACTCAAATCTCAAAATAGTTACTGATTATTTTGCTGCTGATAAACCGATGAGTGACTGTGGCTAATTGGAACAGTATTGAACACCCATTGATATGACTTCAGAGCATCTTCAGAGTGCCGCTTCTCAACATGAAGGATTTTATAAGCTGGTCACAGCCAAAAATGTAACATCTCAGTCATTTGATATGTAAAGATTTCACTGAGGAGTGAAAGTGAGATGTTGGCTGCAGCATTATCTTGCTCATTAGTGAGAGTGGTCTGTGTGGATCCATTCAGCGACAGCCAGGTATAAGGACCCGAGACTGGAGGGGCTCTCAGTGGCCCAGGTAAGGGCAGTGTCAGCTTTCAGCTGCCTCATGTAATGTTAGCCTTTCTCTTCAGGTGTGCGTCTGGATCTGTGAGTACTCCTTTATGTGTTAGACTTGGATTGGAGTCAGTTAATCATGTCTTTTGAATAGTTAAATCAGGAGTGTGCATGTTTTTTTTTTTGCTTCAAAGGTGCTGCTGACCTTAAGTTGTTTTCTTGTGCGATGTACCTGGATGTTTAAAACTCATAGCTGGGATCTCTCTGTAGTAACTCGCAACGATCTACATAGCTTTACGCAGCAAGTTCTGGCCTGCTCTTCCTCTTTTGTTACTCAACCTCAACACTAATAGGTGGATTTTTCTGTGACTTCCTTAAAGCTTGCAAATGAGCATATTTACATCTTTTGGCTCAATTTATTCAAACAGTCGAGGGTTCTGTCCTTGTGGCCGATTCGGCACAAAACCTTCATTATGTCTGTGCAGACGGTTTGATTCCCAGCTGAAATTCACTCTGTGCTGTTTCTTAATGGGAGGATTTTATCATCTCCTGACATCATTGTTAGTAAAGTAGTCATTACTGTTATACTCCAAAGGTGGAAATGTGGGTGTAGGGTTGTCCAGAAAAAATGTGCCAAAATCACATTTGATTGTGTGATGCCTAAGCATCAGGCAGTGTTTTTTTTATTTTATTTTTTTAAATTAAATATTTAACTAGTGCTCCGTTTCGGAGGAAGTAAGACAAATTAAAACAGACAAAACTTAAGAGTTTACCTGAAGTTGTTGAGCTACATGTCATCATCACTAATGAAAGCGCCAAACCTTTCAGAGTTCTTTCTCGTTGCCAAAGAAAGAGGCGACAATGTAACCCTTGTCATAAAAATGCTGGACAATCGGAAGCTATCTGGTGGTTGCCAGGTAGTGACTGACTGGTCTTCAGACCTGACTGAAGCTTCAGTATATGTGCAGGTGATCTATGTGAGCCAAAAAAATTCAGGCTTTAGAGTACTCTAAATACTCAGTTTTTCCTAGTATTGGCTCTTGGTGACATCATTGGCTTCATAGTGTAGTTAACACATTCACCTTACGCACAAATGGTCCTGGGTTTGACATCCAGATTTTAAAATCACAAATGGTTGTGATTTTAAAGTCACAACCATAAAAAAAGGAGAGGAATAAAATGTTAAAAGTTTAACAGTGTATGGGTGTTGCTTTAGCAGCTGGTGCATTTTGGAGCAGTGACTCCGTGGATGTCCCCACAGAGCCTCGGGCTCAGGACTGATGGAATTTACCCCACATGAATGCAAGCAGACAGTCGTGTACTCATGGAAACTTTAACCTGTGGTTAAAGTAACCTAGGGGTTAAGAGTAGAGGCTAATCTCTTTATCTAGTACTCCTGTGAAGGAGTCTGGTGTCTGGTTTGTAGCAAGACAGAAAATTCATGATTACAATTTAAATCTGTTGTTGTGGTCATTGATTAATAGTGGTGTGGAGGGGTACATTATATTGAGGATGAGGTCTAATTAACTTGAGGGATTTATTAAATGAATAAATAAATGTCAGCACTATGTCAGATGGGGGAAGGATCCAACTGTTTGCCGTATGTGGTTGAAATGTTAGTTGTGACCTGTAGGAGGTTGTTATGCACGCAAAATGTTGTTAAAGCTTTTAAAGTTTCTGCAAAAGCACCTGTTGGAGACCTGTTGGATTAAGCAATAAATGCTTTGTTTAGTTTTAGGAGAAAAAGAAAAGCTTCAAATGATCCGCCACTGATTTTATCCTATATTATAATTATTAATATTGATAATCAGAAACATCAGTTTTTTTGGACTGTTTTCCCCACACAGTTTCTGGACAATATTGCTATGAAGGAGTTTAAGAGCAGCAATAGAAGAGCCCTTCTATTCTATTGCTGATATTCTATTGCAACATGATCTAAACCTGAAATATGGGACTTGTTGAAGTAAATGCACACATGTAAACTTGTTTCTGGTACAAAAGACAAATATGGGCAGCATTAAGAGCACTGTTGCTATTTTAATTTTTTTTTTTAATTGCAGTAATTTCCTTCACTGCATGTCCCAGGTGTAATCGAGGCCCCAATTAGCTTGAACAGAAAGTTGAAAACAGTGTTAACAACAACTGTGTAATAAACACAAAGGATTTGGTGGCTTGTTCGGGAAGAAGTGATCTGTAGATGTTAAAAATTCACAATAAGAAATCGGCTTCTTCTTCTAAAGTTTGGTTTAAACAGGCAAACCTTAAATGAGCTGCAGCTCATTTAAAAACTTGAAACAACACCAAGATGATAAGTCAGGCTGTAGAGCCAAATGAAGTCAGTAAAACACTTTGTATTGTAGTTTTAACACAACAAAAACAGGTTCTGGGATCGCAATACTGAATGAAGTTGTTTTTTCGAATCGAAACTGATGAAGGATAAACTGAATGGAAGTTAGTGATTCAGTTTAATCTATTTCTGTAGTTCTGCACTACTTCACTAATGTAGGTTCAGATTGATGCAAGCAAGCAGTTCTAAAGAAATGCATCCTCCTGTCTATGTTACTGTTGACTGTATATAAATAGGATGGATCAATGATCATTTTCTATCGTGATTTCTTTCTTCCTGTGTTTTAGTCCCTGGGACCTCCCTCCCAATAGTGGTAGCCAGCGTGACACAGCTAACCTTTTTATTAAACACAAAAGTGTCCTCTCTTTCTGACAGGTATGGCAGAGTTGGCGAGTCTGGTGCAGCGGTTGGAGGTGGCGGTGGGCCGCCTGGAGGCCATGTCAGGCCCTGGAGGCAGCGCTGGAGGTTCAGATGGAGGAGGTATTACTGTTAAAGAATACACTGAATAATATGTGTAGAGATCAGTGAGTGAAGTTTGCATTAATACATGAAAATGAATCACTGCGCTGAAGTCGGCTTCTGGCAGTGTGGACAGCGAAACCGGAGCCTTTTTGAAAACGATGACAGATTTTAGTCATGTAATGCAGTCATGTGACCAATTAAACTAAGATAGCGGAGGGCATTATACAGCTGTTGTTTTGTTTGCTCTCAATTTTGATAGCCCTATTAAAGATTAATATCAGTTTGTAAATGCTCCAGATAGCTTTTCTTCAAATTCTTTAATTCTCACTCGCTTTTGCAGCTTTGTGCTTTTGTGTTACTCACAGCAACAACTCCACCTCATTGTTAGTCCATTTAAAAAAACTGTGCTGAAGTCAGCTTCTGAGCTCACAAAAGCCACTAGATTATTTGACTGAGTGGGGTCATTTATCACTAAAATGTTCTGATGTTGTTAATTATGGCTTTCAGTCAGTTACTGTTGGCGTTTGCAGCTAGGCTTCTGCAGCGGTAGATTTAGCTGCTCTTGGTGTGTTGGCCATGGTTCACTGCAATGTGTTGCTGTGCTGAGTGTTACTTGGGGAATTTCATGCAGATTAGACAACCCGAGTAGTTGTTAGTAAAGATATCAGTTCCACATTAATGTAATGTAAATGGTAAATGCGCTATAGCTCTTTACTTAGTCCCTAAGGACCCCGAAGCTTTATACTACATTCATCCACCCATTCACACTGGGGATGGCAAGCTACATTGTAGCCACAGCTGCCCTGGGGCGCACTGACAGAGGCGAGGCTGCCGGACACTGGCGGCACCGGGCCCTCTGACCACCACCAGTAGGCAACGGGTGAAGTGTCTTGCCCAAGGACACAACAACCAAGACTGTCCAAGCCGGGGCTTTAATCTTTACATGTATTTCTTTTTAATCCCCGTGGTCTTCTTTATCTTTGCAGCTGTATCTGCGCACGTCGAGGGCTTCGATGAGATCATCAAGGGTCCTCTGGCGGAGTACCTCTCCCTCAGCCAGAAGATAGGGGGCGACGTCCAGAAACATGTAGGTCACAAGTTCAGACATTACACATTTACATGAGGCATTGGTCACCAGTCCTACCAGAGCTGAGTTTAATTCTTTCCTAGGAAAGATGATTCCTGAAAGGTTACTTTAACTGCAGCAGCCATTGTAGAAATATTTACTGTCTACAAGTAAACGTTTCTTCTTTCCTGATGAGCACATTGCAGCGTATCTTGGTTTTTTGCCTCCACCTGCAGATCAGAAGAGCAGGTGCAGCCTGTGGAAGGACTAACGCAGCCTTTTGTTTGTGCTTCATGCAAAACTCTGCAGGGAATCTCGTAATTGCAGTTGACGCTGCTGATTTAATCGCTTCTTTTATACAGCATTGTTTTACATTTACAGTGATATTCCTCATTTTCCAAGTCCATGATTTTTTTTTTTTTTTTTTTCCCCTGCTGGCAAGACTTGAATATTTCTAAATATGAAGCCCCTTGAAAGCAGTTTCTGTTAAGTGTTCGTGAAAGATGATTAAAAAATGGCACAATGATAAATTAATGTAACATTTCTTTCCCTCTTTTAGGCAGAAATGATGAAGCAGGGGTTCACCACTGAGAGACAGCTTCTCATCACAGCCTCCACTTCCCAGAGGCCCTCTGATGTGAGTTAAACACACTCCGTAAAACTTTAAGTTGAGCAAGCACCGCATTGATTGATCAATTTCAACTTTGTGCATTATTTATTGTGTTCGTCTGCAGTTTAAATGGTCGAACCCCCCTTTCTTTTTCCCTCTCTGTACAGGTTCTGTGTTGTGATATTTCTGCCTCATTTTATTTTGATTTAAAAATCTGCTGTAAAGATTAAATATTCAAGCTCGGCTTAGTTGTGATGGAGAAAGCTTAGTGGGATTATTGGCCTTGTTAATTTGCTTCAGAAGTTGGAGAATTTGTAGAGGGTTTTTTTTCTTTCTTCTTCTTCTTCTTCCTTTTTCTTTTTTTCCTCGAGTTGTGACTCAATTCAATACAAATTCTTAAGTTTCAGGTATCTGCTGATATCGAGTGCTAAACTTTTGTCCTTTCTCAACTCTTCAGGCAGTTTTGACGACTCTCCTGCAGCCCGTGTCCAGCGTGATCCAGCAGGTGCAGGCGTTTCGGGAGCAGAACCGCAGCTCACCGCTGTTCAACCACCTCTCTGCTGTCAGCGAGAGTGTGCCTGCCCTTGGATGGGTTGCCATGGTGAGTCCAGGGGCTGAGAGAGGTTAACGGGTAGGAAAAGAGCCGTTTTGGCACCACTCTGTGTATGTGGATAAATGAGTGTATAATGGGCGGAAACAGGCCTCTCTTTGATTCTGTCAACAGTCTCTGATGAGCGACGGTTTCTTGGCTGACATTAAAGCACCAACAACAGAGCTTTGCTGTTACAGTAAATGATTCATTCATTGTTTGCTGTTGTGTTTTTTGAGACTTATGAATAATGGATCAGATTTTCAGATACACATGATGAATGTCTTCATTCTCTGTCCGCCTACCTCTGTATCCTTAAACTTCTCATTTGCTTTGCAAAACATTTGTGACAGCAATACATATTTCAGAAGAACAGTCATTCTTTTTTTCTTTATTGCTAATGAGAGCTAGACAAGGAAGCTGATTAACTGATTAATACGTCTTTATCTTATTTATTTTTTTAGTCATGTTGAGACTGATTTTTGTGACCTTTGGACAAAGCCTCTTTTTGCAAAGATTGTGGGTGTAGCTTTATGGCAGTAGGATGGATTAGTCTTTAATTAAAGGCTTCACTCGTGGGGAAGCAAAGATTTTAATTTCTCAAAATGTTGAGCTTTAGTTTTATACTTCCCCTTTCTTCAAACATATCCGACTCCTCTGCATCCGTTTAATCCGACTCTAAAAGACAGACAGGAAAAACCTGGCCCACAGAGTCCTAAAGGAAAACAAAACAATAAGGGGCAGGAGGCATGTCAAAGCAAATGACTGCAGTGATTCTCCACTGCTGTTTAAGTTGATTTTAATACTGTTTATTTCATCAAGTGACCTCTTTAGTGGTACATGTCAGGTAGGGATCTACCAGCAATCTAAATGCTGACATGGTGCTTGTGCTTTTAAATTGTTAGCTACAGGTTACAATTAAAATCTTACTAAGTTCAAACTTAGTTATCCAGTGTTTGGGGTTTTTGTTTGTTTGTTTTTTTTGTTTTAACGTTCTCTGTGGACATTTGGACTAAATGGTTTCCCACCCATGATATACGAGATAAGACTGGCTCTATTTATCCCAAAATTTGGGGAAGTTCCTGTGTTACCGCAGCCAAGAACACTAAGTACAACCTAGATCAAAATGCTTAAACAAAGTGGACTGGACTGCTCAATATAATAAAAGCAATATGACAAAACAAACTGGCTCAGTTAGGCAAAAACTACACACAGGGTATGTTTTACGAAATGAATCTAAACCTTTTTACTTCGTGTCAGGCTCCCAAACCAGGCCCGTATGTTAAGGAGATGCAGGACGCCGCCACGTTCTACACCAACCGTGTGCTGAAGGACTACAAGGACAAGTCAGTAAAACCTCCACTATTAAAGCCTGTTTCCCTCATTGTCCGCAGCAGATGGGCCGTCCAAATTTAATTTGTATACAAAGCTGCTGGGATTTCTTCCAGTTTGTTCTTATCATTTTAAACTGTATCATATGTTTTTATTTTTTATGTTGAATCTAATAAAAGGGTCAAAAGAACTTTTAAATGCAGCCAAACAGTTTGCTCGACCCATCTGTCTTCCATCCTTTCTTTTCCTTTTTCAAGTTATGGTGCCCCACGGTTTTACTGAGTCAGCACTGCCACATGATACACTGAAGCATGTCGGTGGCAGACTTCCTGGGTTTAAACTTGTAATAAAAGCCTGAAAGTGAGGCAGACTGTTTGTGCTCTCAGTTTGTGTTCACATGTCCTACAGCAGGCAGTCAGTTTGCACAATGAGAAAATCTGAAATAAAAAATAGTTGTGTTGTGAGTTCTAAGTAAAGGAAGAAAAACTGCTAGAGCTAAAAAACGATGCCATAAAATCATATGTCGTCTTCACAGGGACAAGGTGCATGTGGACTGGGTGAAAGCCTACATCTCCATCTGGACTGCGTTGCAGCATTACATCAAAGAGCAACACACCACCGGACTGACCTGGAGCAAGACTGTGAGTTTCCAAAGGAAGGAGGAGGAGGAGAGAAAAAAAATAAAAAAAGGAAATTACTGCAACTTGAAACATAAAAAGCAGCTCTCAAATGATCAAATGCAACCTGACTCATGAATTAACACATTTACCTTAGGGCCAGTTTTACTAATATTTTGTGCCAGAGCAAACTGGGCTTTGGCATTAGAGAAAATTGTACTGTCTGTACTTAGAGTTATAAGGTTGCATGATTTCTGCAGCTTGCCCTGTTGCATATGTATTTCTGGGACTTCCTTTCTTGTGGTACACAATGAAGGAAAAGCAGGAGCTTTTAGGGTACAAAACAATCCTGAAATTGAACTTGAGCTCTGTTTTTACTAAACTAAATTTAGCCCTTCAGAATAAACTTTATTTTTGTTTACACACAAAGTTGAGGCAAACACAGGGAGAAGTGGTGTAACTGCCCCTGATATGCAAACAGTCCTGTTTTAAATTATAGAGGGGAGAATTACTCCAGAGTTTGTCTCGTGAGTGTGCTCTCCTTTGTCTGCTTTAAAGGCTAAAAGTGTCCTTCATGACCTCCATTCACCCTGTTAACCGTTTTCTTCTCTTCTTCCTCAGGGTGCAGTAGCTTCAGCTGGTGCTGCTCCACGCAGCGCTCCTGCTGGCGGTCCTCCCCCACCTCCCCCTGGACCCCCTCCTCCCGCTGACCTGAGCGGACCCACTGGCGGTGCTGGGGACGCCGGTGCTGATAATCGGAACGCCCTGTTCGCCTCCCTCAACAAGGGGTCTGACATCACCCGGGGTGGGTAGCTACAGCTCCAACCAACAGTGATGAGAGGAGCTGATACTTTTTTTTTTTTTTTGTCCTGGCCTCAATTTTGAGGATTTGAGTGCAGCAGTAGTCATGTAGCAGAGCTACATGAATCAATACAAAAGGCTTTGTTGATGTAAATCATATAAAGGAGTCTCCTCTGGTCCTTCTTTCCTTTTGTTGATCATTACTCTATGTGAGGAGTAGTAATCAGTATTGATGAACCTCTCTGGACAAATAAGTTGATGGGAGAACGCGGTATGAAGGGCAGACAGTGTATTAAGACGGACCTTTTTATTTCAGTTATAAACTTTTATGCTCATTTACACTTACTAATATATGGGTTCCATTCCTTTTATTTATTTTTTGTTATCACATAAATTAGATGTGCTTTGGATAAAGTAACGCTCCCTCTCTCTCAGACTAACAGTGCATGTTTCATCTCTCCCTGACCCCTGCAGGACTAAAACATGTGTCCGATGACCAGAAGACCCACAAGAACCCCAACCTGAGGAGTCAGGGCGCTCCAGTGCGCTCTGGACCAAAACCCTTCGCTTCAAGCGCCGCCAGACCTGCTGCATCCGCCACACCAACCCGTACACTCCCCCCTGTGCTGGAGCTGGAAGGAAAGAAGTGGAAAGTGGTACGTTGAAGGGGCCAAAATGACCAAAATAGATTTTTAAACTTGCTTCTGGCTCAGACAAACAGACCTTCTTTTTTTTTTTTTTTTCTTAATTCTTTTTCTGTTTTCTTAACTTGCTTTCTGCAGGAGAACCAGGAGGATGCTCAGAACCTGGTGATCAGCGACACTGAGCTGAAGCAAGTGGTTTATGCTTTCAAGTGTAACAAGAGCACCCTGCAGGTCAAGGGCAAAATCAACTCCATCACTTTAGGTAAGAAAGGAAACTCACTCCTCAGAAACGTACACGTCGAGGGCTCTCGTATTGCCCCTGATATAATGCCCAAACATTTATTTATATTTGCCGACACAGCCGCCATAAGTGAATAAAAGGCAGAAGAATGAGCTCGGTGCTTAGAGTCTCTTAAATATACTTATTTATTTTTTCTCCGACAGATAACTGTAAGAAAATGGGCCTGGTGTTTGATGATGTTGTGGGCATCGTGGAGATGATTAACTGCAAGGATGTCAAGATCCAGGTGTGTACATGATTTTTTTTGTTTCTTTTCACTGTTTGTTGCATTTCATGAGATCACTGAATGATTTTTGCTGCCCCGTCATTCTTCGGCTCTTTGTAGTTTCTCTGCTGAGGATTTATACATTTTTCATGAACTCTGTTTATTATTCATGTAGTTAAATATTGGAAACTGCAAGCTGCTCAGTTTTTGGCAGCTTCACTGTCAGCTGGGTGCAGTGTTGGGCTTGAGGAGATTTGTAGAAGCTGATTGTAGATCGGCATTGTGTATCATCTACCTGATAAAGTTACTGGCTTTTAGCCAAAGGGTCTACTGTTTATTTTTTCCTTTTGTTTCCAGGTTATGGGGAAGGTCCCAACTATCTCCATCAACAAGACAGATGGCTGCCACATTTATCTGAGCAAGGACTCTCTGAAGTGTGAGATCATCAGCGCCAAGAGCTCAGAGATGAACGTGCTGGTACCCAACAAAGATGGAGAGTTTGTGAGTATCTCTGATTTCATTTGTTTGGCAGAGGAAGTTTAACGTGACACAAACAGGACCTCACCTGACTGTGATAAGCAACCTTACTGCTTCTGTAAACCTTATGGGGTATTTTTGGCTTTGTAAATGCTGTCATCACTAAGTTTTCAGTGCTGCTGCTTTTATTTAATCCTTATTTCAACCAGAAAGTCAATTGAGATGAAAATAAAGTGAAAGAAGTCAATTGAATAATACAAATAGAAGGAGCAGTAAGTCTTTATGAGAGCTCTGAACTCTCCTGGGTAGACAAACACTTTCAGCCTCATTAGGTACTTGTTAGTGTCTGTGAGGCAAGCGTCACACATCAATTATGAATTTCTCTATGAAAGGTCTTGGATAAAAGTCCAGCCTTGCAGAAGTTTGAAGTCAAAGTCGTTAACATGCAAACGGTCACATTGGTCCAGCGAGTAGTGTGCATTTGATCTTTTGAGCTGCTTTCAGCTTCGCATGCTCGGCATGTTTAATTAGACCATGAAGTGTTCCTTGAACTGTGCATCTTTGAGCAGGTTTGTGGCGTAGTTGCTTTTAGGATTTTTGTTAAATAATGAGAAAATGAGGTTAAGAACAAGGGGCAAAGCTCTCCCATCCTCGTTTTAGTGCTGCTAGGAACCTTTGACCAGAACCAGAACAGCCCGTTTATCGAGTCTTCATCCTGAGCCGAGCTGATCAGCTGCTGACTATAAACGATAAGAATTCAAAGCTGGTCTGAAAAAGCTTGTTGATCTGACAAAAACCCTCTGTGTGTCTCTCCCTTTCAGACGGAGATCCCTGTACCCGAGCAGTTCAAGACAGTCTGGGACGGCAGTAAGCTCGTCACCACAGCAACAGAGATCGCTGGATAAACTGGGGCAGCATATTAAAACGGCCGCCCCTCCTCAACGCCATCCCCACTCGTCTATTTTAATTTTTTTTTTTTGCAGAGTCCTGTCTGACTGATCGACAACCCCACCAGCTAACTCTCACACTGTACACTGAGATTCAGACCTTTCCCCTTCTTCCTTATCAGCCAATCACAGTTTAAACTGTTCCTTCTGTAAGCCAATTAGAGGGCTGCTTGCCTTATCTGGAGCAGATCCTCCAGCCAATCAGCAGGGAGCAGCTTGTCATTCAAATTAGGGTTTCCCTGCAAGCACTTGAAAAGAGTTTTGCCAACAGCTGGGAAGCTCTGTATGTTTTTTTTTTTTTAAATTTATCTGGATGATGCTGAGCAAAATTTAGAATAGGCAATGTTGATTCCTCTGCAGCCAATCAGGCTAATTTCTTTCCCTTCTTCCTGGTCAGCTGGGGGGCTGGCGTGTTTAAGTTGTGGCCTCAAGGTTTCTCTTCCATTATATGCAATTCACTGGTGAAGCACTCGTCAAAAAGAGCCCTTTTTAGAGGATAAAGGCATCCATATCATCTCCACTGATGACTGCAACCATGAGACTCATAGTGGATAATGGTGTAAAACAAGTTCTCTGAGCACATAAAACCAGAGTAAAAGCAAGCTGTGCAAAAACATTCTGTCTTAAATCATTTTTAAAGCATAAATCCATCTAGATGATGATGTTTGAACGGTTTAAAGTACGTTTTCACTTAAATCTACACAGGACATTCCTGAATGAAAGGAAAAAAAAAAACATTCCATGTTAGGAGGCATTTAAGAAAAGTGTGATAAAGAGCAAAGATGTTGGAAGTCGGTGGAAGTGAATTTTAAAAAGTAAAGGAAAACAGACTGGAGTAAGTGATTGGAAACACCTGCTGTAATCACCTGTACAGCTATGAATAGTCTTTGAATATCAGCCTGACCATCAGCATCCTGCTCCTTCTCATGTCTGCAGCTCGCGTAGCTGTGGAGCTCTTCGCTGAATTTTCTTTTGTCTCTTGTTTTTGTTTACCACTTTAATTTCTCTTTTTTGGGGGGTCCAAACTCAGAAATCTGCTCATTAGTACTGGAGACATCATTAAAAATGTTGCAATAAATCAAAGTATTTGGGTGTCTTTATTTTGATGTTTTATTTGTACAGAAGCATTATTTCACAGTTAAAAGATCCAAATGAGGCAAAACGAAAGTGGCTTAACCCCCCCCCCCGTAAAACCTGCCAACAATGATGAATAGTGTTTGACCTCATCAGTAAACTGCACCTGTGACTGCTAAAATTATGATGGCATCACAAGACACAGATTAAAAGCCAACACGCTGGAAATGATCAGTGCAAAAAGAGTAAATGATGCTTTCTGCTAAGCTTGAGCGTCCTGTTAAACTGGCGTTATATTGCTATTGATTTCAGCTACAGCAATCTGAGACTATCAGTATGGAGCTGCTTTAGTGTAAATAAGGCAGCAGGTTGGCTTTGAACCACTCTTCTTTGAACTGGAGGTGGTCGCCTTCGGTGGCCAGAAAAACCAGCTTCCCTGCTTTGTCCATCGCCGCCAGACCCAAACGATCCTACACACACACACACACACACACTCTGTTTTACAACTGGCATGTGCAACAAAGTTTGATTAATAAACATTTGCTGATGGAAAGCCGAACTAAGATGTCCTGCTACATGCAGAACCATCGTAAGGTGGTTAAGGCAAAAAAAAAAAAAATAAAGCTTCTGAATTTTTGGAAAGGCATAAAAAGGCAAAATAAAAGCAGATCTATACTTATCAAGGTAATCCTAAGTGTGACAAAGGTGGTTCTTTTCCATTGCCATGGTAACTTGTGCTGCAGCTAACCTGCTCCAGGCCTTCCGTGTACACCAAACCCAGTTAGGCTCAGTGCTCGCCTCAACTTGATAAGTCAACCCAAGGTCCATAATCTAGCTATAAGTATGTTCATAAAAAACATTTAGCTTTAGTTGTTGTTCTTGAGTTAATTGTAATTTTGCAGCATTTTAGTCACTATCTGTTGAGTTTCTACGAGTCATAAATAAATTGACTTGACAAACAGTCTGATACCAAATAATGAATAAAAACAGGGTTAGTCTGTGCGCAGACTTGCAGTATAAATATGTCCTGTTCTGGATTCTCACATTAATGCCTACAGAACAATAAAAGTGTAAAATTGCAACCAACGAGGGAAAAAAAAAAAAAGGAATAAAGTTGCTCCTTTAAAAAAAAAGAAAAAAAGAAAGAAAAAAAAAAGTCTATATTGTTGTAAATGCACACATATCTTCCGTGTGTCTCATTGGCAGATGCTGCACACCAGCAAACAAATAAATATACTCAAATACAGACTGAGACCACGTTTTGACAAATAAATCTGATTACCACCTTCTTGTGACTGCTTAGCCTTCACATTCACAGGAAACACTGGATAATAAAGTGTGTACTGCTCACACCGTCAGCTCTCTTCCCTCATCAGAGAACCTGCAGTGATTACCTCCTTGTAGATAACGCTCTCCTGTAGGGTCTCGGTCTCTTTGGCTTGGCCAGTTTTCAGGAAGCCGAACCACTGCGAGAAGAATCGGGACAAGACTGTGACTGGTCTTTAATCAGCACCTTTTTTTAATAAAAGTATTTTTTGAAACTGACTTGTGCAGAATTTTGCTAAAACTTTGGCCATCAGGGGACAGAATTTTACCAGTGTGTATGCTGGGATGATTTCAGTTAAGTGCTACTGCTCTTTCCTTACAAGGTGTTTCACCAGACCACTGGTATTGTACTTTGATGGTAAAATAAAGGTTGCACTGACTCACTGCACCATCTTGTGGTGTAAACTGGTATTACATGAATGTACAGGCTGGCTCATGTTCATTCAACTTAAACTTACATCTCTTCAACACATTACACAGACACTTTGAATAAGAAGTCGTTGAAGTTTTTTCTTCACATTGTGTTTTTAGTTCTGTTCATTTTTAAAATAACTACGTGCATTATGTTTGGTACCTCAGTATCGACAGGATCCACCACAGAGTCCTGCAGGAACTTGACCATGACGAACTTCTCTAGCTGCTGAAGATTCTTCTTGTAAGTCTCGTTCACCGCCTTTAGTAGAAAACAAAAACATTTTTCAACAAACAGAAAAAGAACTTTGCAGATGAGCACGAAGAGTTTAAAAAAAAAAAAAAAAAAAAAAAAAAAAAAATCAGATTCAGGAATTATATAAATACAATTAAATGTCTCCATGTGTCTTGTGTGGCTTTCTCTACCTCAAACAATCCCAGGCTTCTTCTTTAAAATGAATTAGCACCCTGCTCTAATAAAGAACCCTTAAAGAGTTTAAAGGACATAATTAATGTGAACAAATCATTCTCTTCTGCGTCGTAGCTCAGTATGAAGAGAACCAAATTGTGAAATAGCTCTTTGACTGGTTTTTATTAAGCGATTATTCAGAAGTTGATTGATTTATGGATCGGCAGAGATAACCCTGCAGGTCAGTTTGTAGCCACACAGTCTAATCCGATCCTGTCTATTAATGAAAGGTTAAGCTCTCGATCTAAACAGCAGTTTACGTCAGTGGGCAAACTTCAGTTTCACGCTGATGGCACAACACAGACTTTCTTCTTTCTGGAAATGTTGACCCTGGAGCAGACTTAAGCACTAATAGGGTGTAATCTCATTGTCTTTTAATTAATACCTTTCACTGGACTTAAGTATCTTATACAGTAGCAGCAGCCGTCTTCCTTCTGTGTTGCCTTCTGTTTTTTCACTTGTTTATAGTTTTAATGGAGAATAAAGAAATCTAAACGTGTATAAAGGTGTGTTGTACACCGAGAACATTGCATGGGTATAACTCATCTTTGAGACGACAATAAATCATTTATTAACGATTAACTAAACTCCTTAGGCACCAAAGTCCACTTCTATAGTTATTCATAGCTGCATCTCTTTGTCTCCGTCAGCAGATGGCAGAGACAGAGTAGATTCAGTCCTCCAGCTGCCGATAAACACCGAAATGCTGAAAAAACCCCACACAATCTCCTTTTTGTTTTCCTAACGCAGTCACTGTTTACACTTCTGCGACCTCGTTGTACTGACTACAAGGCTGTTCTGGCTCTACCGACCCGCTCTTGATTGATGTCAGCCAGGAAGCGGCTGTACTTCTTGTAGAGATCATCGTTCAAAGGGTCATGCCAGTACTGGGCCTGCACCAGGCTGATAACCACAAACACAGAAACGATTCGTCACGAGATGCTTGACATGACTTAACAGGAACAACAGGCTGATGCAAGACGGAAAACTTACTGCTTTTGAAACCAGCCCAAGTAAGCTTCCTTATTCAGAGCTTCACGAATCATGTCACAGATTTTAGAGCTCTCCCCAGGACACCTGGGCAGCCCGTACACACCTGAGGATTCGAAAAACACACGGGGTTAGGTGCCAGCTTGTTTGGAAGCTGTCAGGAATTAGTAGGCAACATAGAAAACTGTCAGGAAATAACCTGGACCATTCACTCCCATAGCTCCCTGGTCTGGCTCACAGAGCACTTGAGGCTCTTAATAAGTCTCCAGTGGGAGACTGAGCTGTTTACATCTTTACATAGAGGCTTGAATGTGTTTAATTTGAGGAGAGGAGTTCTGTTTTCAAAGATACCAACAGAATAACAAGTCTGATGTCAAAGAGAAGGACCTACAGAGTCAGGTTAAACTTTTATGTGCAGCTGATTTAATGACAATAGACTGAGTTTTATTTTACAAGTTAACTACATCATAAAAGAGCTTTTAGTTTTGTTTTCAGTTTAACTTTCTTTGCAACTACTGAGTTCAGATCTGAAAGCGAGGCCCTTCAGCCTCCTGGTAGATGCACTTATCGAATAAGTTTGAACATAGTAGGTAAGTTCCTTCGTTAGTTGATGTCCGACCTTGACATTTATATTAGGGTCACTGGGATTTAAAGTTGATACACCTGTGGTATCAATTTGAAAATCCTACGTCAACCCGTTCTCTAGTTATTCACGGCGCCAGCCCACTTGGCAGGGTGATGGCAAAACCTCAGCCTTTTTTGGCTGAAGGGTAAAAAAAAAAACCAAAAAAAAAACCAAAAAACCCCTAAACACTACGTTTACATCAGAATATATCTGGTCAGCTCTGCTCACAGGGAAGTGAGCTAAAGTTATCATTATAGTATCACCTTGGTGCTGACCGCCAACAGAGATCAGGTTTTTCATTGGTGGAGAGGCACAGCGCTGAGCCACAGCCCTCCTGCGAACAGAGGAACCGGGTCAAAGAGTCAGAGCGAGCTTCCTCATTTCAGTCAGGAGACAAAAACTACGAGCGGGAAACATGCCGAGGCCCGAGAGTTGGGTTTTTTTCAACCACACAAAGCTTCCAATTTCTCTCGCATAACAAGTAAGAAAACCAGAGTCCAGAACAGGAGTTACATACAGAAATTGCGCCCCCTGGGAGAAGCCCATCGCATTGTATCCTCCCTTCAACTTGGGGTCCAGAGCCAGCTGATTGCACACCATGGACACCTGCTCATTCACATCTGAGAAAAACCCATTTTCTGTGTCCTGCAGGAGGAAAAACATGAAAAGTTCAAATCACAAGTGACAGATTAAAAGAAGAAAACGAGCAGAGAGATAACGTTACGGCGTCACCACGGATCAAAGCCGTACCCGTGCAGGTTTGGTATAAATATTAACACAGAGGAGTCACACAGTGAAGCTGCAAAGGAGCCATTTTTCTGATGTAACTTATGTCACTACTACTGCAAATACCACAGAATAGGAGCCATCACACATGTGGAAAGCTGCTGTGGGACTGTTAAAGAAAAAAAAAAAAAGGCGTTCTTTATTAAACATGTCATATATTCACTTTTACTGTGTGTTTCTGTGAGAAGACGAGTGGCCGTGAGTCATCTTCTGAAGGTAGTGAAGCAATGCTACATCTTAATAGGATGACAGCGATTTTTTTTTAGCTGCGAAACAGCATTACAGGAAGTTTTATCAATGCGTCCAGTCTGTACAACAGCTTCAGCGTCTTTACAGGAAGTATGTACTCTTTTGAAGTTTTTTAATTTAAAAAAATAATCCATTATCATTCATTTAGAATGA